CTCGCTTATGCAAAACACATTCCTGGCTCATGTAATCTCATCAAACATCAGAGGCAGATGCTTCCTAATGTTATAGACAGGAAACTGGAACTGAGAGTCTGAGTAAGTTGTCCAGGTCCATGACTAGTACTGACTACAGTTTCGAGCCACAATACTCATTTTTGTTTTCTTAACTATAAAAAATGGCTCTTTCACAGATTTTTATGGATTGGGACACCAAGTGGTCATCCGGATTCTGCTTAGAAAATTCCAGAAACTTCTTTTCAAGTGGTACTTTTAATGCTTTTGAATTTTATGTTGATCAGGGGTCTGAATTTATGTTCAACTATGGACCAAAAAATTGTTCGGTCATATGCCAGTCTGTAAATACTTCTGCGATGAACAAACTTTCCTAACTTTTCCTAAGTAAAGGGAAGAGGTGGAATTGATATCATAAAGGGCTTTACTCAACCCTTTGAGGTTTCACTTAAATACCAGAATTTGAGTATTTCATTCTTTTAAGTCAGAAACATAGTAATTCATGGTATGTTTAATGATTGCTTTGGAAAGGATAGGCAATGTTAGACTGATCACTAAGTTGGCAAAACATACTTACATGTTTAAAAAAATAACTTGTCCAAGTCAAGAGATTTTAATAAGAGAAATTATTCCTTTTGTATGATCCTATATAAGTCTCTCCCCATTCAGTTTCTCATTTTTCCTTTTTAAATTTTGTTATCTTTTTATTTGCAAGGCAGAGAGAGATCTTCCATCTGCTGGTTTACTCCCGATATGCCCACAGAAGTTAGGTCTGGGCCAAACTGAAGCCAGTAGCCAGGAACTCAGTCTAGTCTCTGATGTGCGTGGCAGGGACTCAAGTACTTGAACCATGATCTGGTGCCTTCCCAGGGTGCACGTTAGCAGGAAGCTGGATTGGAAGTGAAACTAGGTACTCTAATATCAGGCATCCCAGGCTGTATCTTTTTTTTTTTATGTAGTTTCTACAAATTTGATGTATAGGAAAGTAGTGATTGTTCCCATTTTACCCTCCCTCCTGCCCACACTCCAACCCTTCCTTCTTTTTCTCCCATTCCCACTCTTAGTTTTTACAAAAATCTACTTTCAGTTTACTTAATGATCATAAGGTTAACCCTACACTAAGTAGAGTTCAACAAATAGTATGAAGTGAAAAACACTGTTCTCAGCAGAAGAGACAAGGGCTGTAAACAGTCATCAAATCTCAAAATGTCCATTTCACTACAGCACATTACATTGTGGGTACTCTGTTAGTTACCACAGATCTGGGAAAACATGTGGTACCTGTCTTTTGGGGACTGGTTATTTCCTTTTTGTAGGGGTAGAGGTGGGAAGAACTTTATCAGAGTTGACTTCCAGCCTTGGCCACACAGGCCCTGCCTGCCCCAGGCCAATGTCACAGGGCGCTCCTGCCCCCCTCCTTGTCCTCCAGGTCGAGCCCCAGGATGCCATGGATCTGGCACTCCAGACTGGCCTATTTCACTAAGTAAAATGGTTTTCCGTTACTTCTATTTTGTTGCAAAAGACATTTCATTGTTTTTTGTTTTGTTTTGTTTTACGGCTGAGTAGTACTCTGGCCTGATTCACTTACTATAATGGTTTTTAGTTACATCCATTTTGTTGTAAATGATATTTCATTTTTTTTTTTTTTTTGCAGCTGAGTAGTACTCCATAGTGTATATACCATAATTTCTTTATCCTGTCATCAGTTTATGGACATCTGGGTTGACTCCATATCAGCTATTGGGAATTGTGCTGCAAAGAAAACGGGGTACAGAATGGGGTACAGATAACTCTTTCATATGCTGATTTCTTTTGATTTGGGTAAATTCCTAGGAGTGGGATGGCTGGATCATATGGTAAGTCTATTTTCAGATTTCTGAGGTCTCTCCATACTGTCTTTCACAAGAGGCTGGACCAGTTTACATTCCTGCCAACAGTGGATTAAGGTACCAGGCTGCATCTTTTTTTTAAGAATTATTTGCTTATTTGAAAGGCAGAGTTACAGAGAGGCAGAGGGAGAGACAGAGGGAGAGGTGTTCATCTGATGGTTCACTCCCCAGATGGCTGCAACGGCTGAAGCTGGGCCGATCCAAAGCCAGGAGCCAGGAGCTTCTTCCAGGGCTCCCACACAAATGCAGGGGCCCAAGCATTTGGGCCATATCTGCTGCTTTCCCAGGCCATAGCAGAGAGCTGGATCAGAAGTAGAGCAGCTGGGACTCAAACCAGAGCCCATATGGGATGCTAGTACTGTAGGCAGCAGCTTTACCCACTACACCACAGCGCTGGCCCCAGGCTGCATCTTAACCACTATGTCAAACACTTGTCTTAATAATGTTAACGTCCACTTGGAGCATCTTTTGATCTTATCCAGGTTAGACAGGGGCAGGAAGATTGTGCTCCTGTATTCAGCACCCCTGTTAGTAACTCTTGTGCACAAAATGGAGGGGTCCAAGAATGGACTGTCTGTTTTACAAACATTTTGGAAAAACAAGATGCACCTCTGTAATTAGTCACTGCGCAACACCCACATCCACAAAGAAATAATCAATACCTGACTAATAATACCAGATGCCTAATCAGTATCAGTCTAATAATACCAGATAGATAATCAATACAGGCCTAACTAATAATAGATAATTAATATAGAGCTAACTTTTTAAGATTTTTATTTATTTATTTATTTGAAAGAGAGAGAGAGAGGTCTTCCATCCACTGATTCACTCCCCAAATGGCTACAACAGCAAGGGATAGGCCAGGCCAAAGCCAGGAACCAGGAACTTATTCCAGGTCTCCCACATGCATGGCAAGGGTCCAGGGACTTGGGCCATCCTCCTCTCCTTTCCCAGGCACATTAACAGGGAGCTGAATCGGAAATGGAGCAGCTGGAATTTGCACCAGCACCCATATGGGATGCCGCCACTGCCGGTGGCAGCTTAGCCCACTATGCAGAACTGCCCCCAAGCTAACTATCTCTTAGTAGATAGATAATCAATACAGATCCATCCCAGAGCATGTAACAGACACCTGAGGAGCTGGACTCCTAGGTGTGGCTCATCCTGTGTTTGGAAGGTACTGAGAGATCCAAGGCTCCATGGCAAATATCTTTGGTCCTCTCTTGAAGTGGAGGTTCAGTGCCTGTTAAGGTGTGGTTTGGCTGCTGTTATCTTTATCTGTCCCTGCACATGGTTTCTGCTTCCAACTCCATTCCCTCCCATCTTTACTGCCCCCCTTCCCCATGACATCACCCCAGACTCACCTGTTCACTCACAGGTGTACCCTTTCTCACTGCATGTGAGATCCTTTCTCCTCTGTGCTCCTTACCTGGCCGACAACTGTCCCCTGAGCTGCTTTTGTAGTGTGGATTCCCACTCTATCGCTTTCTTTCTTCTTTTTTTTTTTTTTTTTTTGACAGGCAGAGTGGACAATGAAAGAGAGAGAGACAGAGAGAAAGGTCTTCCTTTACTGTTGGTTCACCCTCCAATGGCTGCTGCGACTGGTGCACGGTGCTGATCCGAAGCCGGGAGCCAGGTGCTTCTCCCGGTCTCCCATGCGGGTGCAGGGCCCAAGCACTTGGGCCATCCTCCACTGCATTCCCGGGCCACAGCAGAGAGCTGGCCTGGAAGAGGGGCAACCGGGACTAGAACCTGGTATGCCGGTGCCGCAAGGCAGAGGATTAGCCTATTGAGCCGCGGCGCCGGCCTCCACAAGGGTTCTTGTTTAATGGATGTGTAACATTATCTTCTTGTTTTTACCTGTTTCTTAAATTCAGCCTGGCCTGTTTACATTAGTAAGGTTCCTACATTCCTAAACTGATTATGAATCTCAACTTTTCATTTCCGTAAAGTTCTGTTTCTTTCTATTTTTTTAAATTTATTTATTTGTTTATGTGAGAGGCAGAGTTACAAAGAGAGAGGCCTTCCATTGCTTGTTTACTCCCCAGAAGGCTGCAATGACTAGAGCTTGGCTGATCCAAAGCCAGGAGCCCAGAGCTTCTTCCAGGTCTCCTACATAGGTGCAGAGGCCCAAGAATAGGGGCCATCTTCCACTGCATTCCCAATCCATTAGCAAGGAGCTGGATCGGATATGTAGAAGCTGGTACTCGAACCTGCGCCCATATGGGATGTCGGCACTGCAGGTCGAAGCTTAACCTATGCCACGGCACCAGCCCATATAAAGTTCTATTTCTAGTCATAACCATTCAATTCTGTATCTATTACTTGTCCTTGAATCTCACATTCATCTTCATATTATCCTCTTTTTTAAGATTTATTTATTTTATTTGAAAGGCAGAGTTACAGAGAGACAGAGGCAGAGAGAGAGGTCTTCCATCTGCTGGTTCACTCCCCAAATGACTGCAACTGCTGGAGCCAGGCCGATCTGAAGCCAGTATTCAGAAGCTTCTTCCAGGTCTCCCACACGGGTGCAGGGGCCCAAGGACTTGGGTCATCTTATTCAGCTTTCCCAGACTATAGCAGAGAGCTGTATCAGAAGTGGAACACCGGAACTTGAACTGGCACCTGTTTGAGATGCCGGCACTACAGGTGGTGGTTTTACCCACTATGCCACAGTGCCTGGTCCCATATTATTCTTGTTCATTTTGTAGTCTCAGAATCCTAAGTGTTAAGAAAGGAGCCCAGAAATAACATTAGCTCAAATGGGGTAAGTCACATTTCCGCATCTTTAATTTACCCATGTGATCAGTGGTGGCTGGATATGCTGATTTCGCTCAGCTTTGCACGAAGTATTAGTGATAATGACTACACTCACCATATTTTCCAAAATGATTCATGTTCTTCTCTGAATCCTATAACTGTCCTATAAAATGGGACAAGAGAGTTCTTAGAGTGGTACAGGAACTATCAAAAGATTAAGTAACTTGACCCTGAAAATTGGAGAAATCTGCCCACAGACGAAGATAGGAACTTCATAAGAAGCCAGCATAGTTTTTTGTTATCAATTGAGTTAGCAATACAAAGATATGATCATTATTCAATAAAGATTTTAATGTGTCATTTGGTAGTGCCAATACATAGAAAAAACTAATGCCTTTGTGTTGATTAAAATGAATAAAAAGATGTATTACTGCAAATTAGGGCAGAAGAAATAAATGCTAATTATGACCACTGTATCAGGAATTTCCAAAAATTCATGCACTAGGTTTACATTAACAGGATCACAATATGAATAGTTTAATTTGTATTTTTAACTACTGCTTTCCATAATGTATTTATCTTGAATAAAAAAATGAGAGATCTTAAAATACTGTTTATTTAAAATACATTGACAATTGAGGAAGATCTTTTTTATTTTATTTTTACAAAAATTAAAAAATAATATAGAATATATATATACCTTTCTGCTAGCTTACCTTAATATTAATAGTGTTCATAACCACAGTGCAATGATAAAGCTAGGAAATTAACATTGCAGTAATATTTAACTTCACACAGGAAGTTTCGGCAATCACAGAGGATGTATTTATTCATTCCAGATTCTCCTGGTTAATATCAGATGGCTGAATGGGGAAACTGAGCATTTTTACCTCCACTAAAATGCCTAGATGTAAATTTTTGGTTGTTTGTTATTGGGTTGGCAAATTAATTTGACCAGCAATGTGATACTTGAGGTTATGTCTCTCATTAATGACAAATGATACTACTGCAGATATATGAGTAAAGTTTATAAATGGTGATGGGAAAACTTGAAATTATTTTACTTTTTGTGGTTTAAGAACAATACTTGAATATGATCTTATGCATGAAAATGCATAGGATGGTATTTCTCTAGTTTTGATATAATTGTTTTCAAGGTGAAGATGTTCCAGCATTGAGTCACCATCTTCCTCAGCAATGCAAACTTGTTCCGGAAGAATATTCCTAAGGAAAGATAGACATGAAAAGTCACAAATGGTCCATGTAATGCTGAGCCTTCATAATATAAGAGTTAGGTTTTACATTTGTTAATAGATCCTTATATCCTACACCCGAATAAATTTCAGCTATGTCTAGGGTCTAAATGTGAAAAGTGAAGCTGTAGGGGCCAGTGTCGGGGCATAGTGAGTTAAGCCAGTGCCTGCAATGCTGGTATCCCATATGGGTGCCAGTTTGAGTTCTAGCTGCTCCTCTTCCAATCTAGCTCCCTGCTCATATGCCTGGGAAAGCAGTGGAAGACAGCCCAAGTCCTTGGGCCTCTGCACCCATGTGGGAGACCTGGAACAAGCTCCTGACTCCTGGCTTCATTTGGAGCATGAACCAGTGGATAGATTTCTCTCTGTGTCAATTCCCCTCTCTGTGTAACTCTGCCTTTTAAATAAATAAGTAAATCTTTGTTTTGAAAAATGAAGCTGTAAATGCACTAGAATAGGGAATGAAACTATCTTGTAAGTAGGGAGAGTCTTCCTATTTATGACTTGGAAGCCAGACACTCTGCTATGGTTGGATGTGGCTTCTTCAAGGGTTCACATGCTGGAGTCTTGGCCCCCAGTATGGTGACTGAGAGGTAGGGGGCATCTCAAAGAGGCATGGCCTAGTCTGACATAATTAAGTCATTAAAGGCACTGCCCATAGAAGGGATTAACACTAATCTCTGGGAATGAGTTAGTTCCCAAGACAGTGAGATGTTATGAAGAGAACAAGATTAGCCCTTCCTTTTTTTCAAGGAGTTTAACAAGGAGTTAGGTAAATATGCTGTTAAATTTGAGTTGAGAATGTCAGTATGAACTCATACTTTTATTTTTTCAGAATATGTTTTCCTGGCAGTCCGCTGAAAGTCCTTGAAACAACAGCAACACAATTTATTGGTTTTTAAATTTTTTTATTATGTTATTTATTTGAAAGACAGGGGCAGCATTGTGGCGCAGTGGGTTGGGCTGCCACCTGTGATGCCAGCATCCCATAAGGGCGCCAGTGAATCCCAGTTGCTCCATTTCTAATCCAGCTCCCTGCTAGTGTGCCTGGGGAAAAAGCAGAGGATGGTCTACAAACTGAGCCGTGCACCCACACTGGAGACCTGGATGAAGTGCCAGTCTCCTGGCTTCAAACTGGCCCAGCCTCAGCCATTGCAGCCATTTAGGGAGTGAACAAACAGGCTCGCTCGCCCTCCCTCCCTCCCTCCCTCTCTCTGAAACTCTATCTTTCAAATAAATATTAAAAAACAAAAAAGTAGAAAGATCAGGAATCCCCATCCACTTCACAGATGCCTGCAACAGCCAGGGCTGAGCTAGGGTGAAGCCAGGAGCCAGGAACTCAATCTGGGTCTCCCACAAGGAGTGTCGTTGACTCAATTACTTGAGCCATCACTGTTGCTCTCCTGCATTATTAGGAATCTAGAATTAGAAGTAGTGCAGGGACTCAAACCCTGTACTATGATTTGGGAATGCAAACGTCTCAACTAGAGTTGTAATTTCCACACCAACCACCTGCCCAAGCACCACAAACAAAGGAGCATGTCCATTGACCACTTGGGGCTGTGGACACGACTCTCCAAGTAAGGAGCAGGCTCTTTGAACAAAGCTTTATAGGAAGGAAAGCAAAAGATGGACATGGAGTCTCAAAAGCAAGGGCTTTCCTTTTATTTTTTTTTTATTTTTTATTTATTTATTTATTTATTTATTTATTTATTTTTTGCATTGCAGCTGGTGGCTTGACCCACTGTGCCACAAAATCAGCCCCTAGTTTGAGGCTTTACAGATGGGGAAGAGCAAGATGCACAGCCCTTAGGGACAGAGCCACCTCCAGTGGTGACACACCAACAAATGCAGTGTCCCGGGTCATCCCAGACACTTCTGCCATTGGGCAGTGGTGGTGATGAGGCACCAGGAAACTGGGCATCCCTTGGGACCAGTGTTGTGGCTGTCCCTGAGATTCTGGCATCCCATATGAGTGCCAGTACAATTCCTGGCTGCTCCAGTTCCAGTGCACCTGGGAAAGCAGCAGACCCAAGTGCTTGGGCCCCTACCACCCACGTGGGAAACCTAGGTGGAGTTCCAGGCTCCTGACTTTGGCCTGGTCTAGCCTGGACCATTGCAGACATTTGTAGGGTGAACTAGGAGATGAAAGATATTCTCCCTCCCTCCCATCCAAGTCTTCCACATAGTTGCAGGGACCTAAGCATTTGGGCCAATCTCTGCTGATTTCCCAGGCTCATTAGCAGGGAGCTGGATTAGAAGTGGAGCAGCTGAACTTGAACCAGTACCCATATCATATTCTGGCACTGCAGGCAGTGGCTTAACTTGCTGTGCCACAGCACCAGCCCCCACCAAAATAAATTTTTTTAAAAGCAAACTAAGCATCCCAGATCATCTCAAGATACTCCTGCTGTTAAGCAGGGACAAAGATTCAGCAGATCACTGAACACACAGAACTATGTGTTCCCAAGTGAGGAGAGTTGAGTCTCACTAAGTTTATTCAGAATTTTGTATTCAGAAAAATCTAGCAAGGAGCAGCATTAATTTTAGCATATATTTTAAGTGTTGTGCACTTCACGTCTGTTTCTTCAAAATTACTTATGAGGTAAAAGTATTAGTATAATATGGTTAGCATTTGTAATCCTTATTTTAACCTGCCTCTAAGGTTGTATGTGTTATGTAATACTCAATTTTAAAATGTTTTTCTAGGAAATTTTGGAAACATTCAAAACTAGGGGAAAAAAAGCCACATTGAATCTTCATTTACCTATTACCCAGTTTCAACAATTATTAACATCTGTGAATATTGCGTGATCCATTCTCTTAGCACTTTTTTTCCTTAAAGCAAATCCTAGAGTTCATGTCATGGTGTTGACTCATGTATTTGTCAATCACAGTTTAAACTGATACTTGAAAAAGCCAGAATTTACCGTATCTTGTTGTTGTTGAGCCTCAGAAAATGTAGTGCTTTCATTTCTTGTATCCCCGGTGGTATGGATTTTAAATCATTGTGATCCAGAAATAACTCTCTTAGGGAATCATATGCCCCATAGAATGAGACTCTGTCAATGCCATCATCAGTAAGTTTGTTAAATGACAAATACAAGTATTCCAGGCCCGGCTCCATGTGACCAAACACATAGCCTGGGATCCGTTCAATCTGATTCCCTATGAGTACCAGGTGAAGTAGAGACTTGGGCAGGTGTCCGGGCACATGGTAGAGTTTGTTGTAAGACAGGTCAATGGATTCCAGGTTCCTGCAGTAGAGAAGTAAGCCAGGTTGGGAATCACAGCTCTCACCTTTAACAAGGCCAGTCTTGTTGGTTCATTTTGTCAACTCCTGACTTGAAGTAATGACTCTAGATACAGAGTTATGTGCCAGCCTAGGTCTGTCTAGCTCCAAGACCATGTTCTTGGCAATGTCCTATACTAACCCAGCTGCATAAGTATGTTAGAGGGGAACATCAGGCTCCAGGAGGGAAAATAACTGAGATACCTAGGGTACTAGGAAGGCCTACAGACATCCCAAAATATCTCTCTTGTGACTGTTGATTCAGAAACAAAACCTACATCAAACCATCTATCACAGAAGTTGCCTCTGGTTCCAGAAGAAGATTTTATTTTTTGCTTATTTTATGTTTTCTCTCCATTTTTTGTTCCACATTGGATTTGGTGGCCTGGCAATTCTGGGACTTGGAGTAAGACTGAGGGATCTTGAAATGTTTGTTAATCAACCATGAGATCTGGGAATGTGGTGAGCTTCTGCCCATCTCTTCACCTGACTGGGGACTCACAAGGGACGGAGTTACCCTCCGGGTGGCCCCTTTACATCTTTGCTCATCTTATGTCTGAACAGCATCATCACAGGCTGCTCAGGTTCATCATTTCTGGTCGCACAGCCCAGATCCAGAATGTCTGCGGAACATGCAGGGCTTGCCTCCAGCACCTCCCCTCCCACTGTCCAGGACGGTGGAGTCTATGAGCCGCCTGCTGTCAGGCCGGACCTTCACTCTTATTTTCTAGGACTTAAAGGAAGGGGTCTTTGGGGAAAAGGAAAGCAGAATGGTATGGAAAGGCAGGCCACAGTTCTGAAGCCAGGTGCATCAACCTGAAGAGGACAGATCGTATCCTCAAAACGTGCAGTGGACTATCTCATTTAAGCCTCCTGCCAACCTGTGAGTTGAGAGCAAACCTCAGGGTCATAGCCAGCCCGGCTATTGCACGTGGTAGGTGTCCCAGTGTCGTGCAGTCATACTGACAATGCACTGGTAACCAGGGTAATCCTAACACCAGTCACCATTAACAGTTTTGGAGCTGTGCTAGGAAACCAAAGTTTGGAGTTGGGGTAAGGACTCATCAGGAAAGAGCCCTTGTCTGCAGGCCCTTCAATGCCTCACCACTTGCTCCACTTCTGATTTTCATACATTGTTTAGCAAAGGGAAGAAGTAGTCTAAGAAAATTAAATTGTAGCATGTACTTACTCTTGACTTATCCAAGCTAAAGGAGCAATTCTGTTTTCTTCTATTTTATTATAACGTAGGACAATAACACTGATCTTTCTGGTATGATTGAAACAAGTTTCACTTATTTCTTCAATTTGGTTATTTTCAAGATATAATTCCTAAAATTCAGAAAAAGCTTATTATTTTTCTTCCAGTGGTGATAGTTGATAAATGCATTCAGTTTCACAGAGGCTGAAAATGTTGTTGTGGGTAGTGCTTGTCATCTGAAGAGTCTTTTGGGGTTTTTTTGAGTGAGCTCATACTTTTAGGTCATCAGATTTTATAACTAATAAAATAAAGAGTATGATCTGTCACAATTATGGAATTAAATAAATTAATGTTCTTAGCTATGATACAGGATACAGCATACCATAATAAAGCCTATTTTATAAAGTCTATTTGTTTAAATTATTTCATTTGGGCTTCAAAACTCTTGATTGTGTGTAGAAACATTATCCCCTCTTGCCAGTGGAGAAACCGGGAAGGGCTACTGTCACCCAGCCTCAGGAGCCAGGGCAGCGTCTCACTATTCCATGCTGTCTGTCATTTTTTAGCCTTGTATTTCTTCTCTTAGACTTGTTTATATTGTAATTTATTTCATTATATTTAATTAGTTCAAAGTAATTAAGGCCTTAATTTAAGCAAAGAAGGATGTTTCCTAGAACTGCTCATGAGTTTTGAATAGGTAGTTACCTTCAAGTTAAATTTAGTTGGCATTTGAGGAAGTTTTTCACTTAAAAAAAAAAAAAGCCTAAATTCTTCTTGTTGTTTTATTGGAGTTTAGAAGTAGAATTGACATAAATCTTCAATTCTTGTTATATAAAGTTTCCCTGTTTTGTCATTTAATTAGCTAATTATTAGAAATAGGTAAAGCAGGGGCTGGCGCTGTGGCGCAGTGGGTTAATGCCCTGGCCTGCAGTGCCGGCATCCCATATGGGCACCGGTTCTAGTCCCAGCTGCTCCTCTTCTGATCCAGCTCTCTGCTGAGGCCTGGGAAAGCAGTAGAAGACAGCCCAAGTGCTTGGACCCCTGCACCCATGTGGGAGACAGGGAAGAAGCTCCTGACTCCTCGCTTTGGATAGGTGCAGCTCCGGCCATTGTGACCATCTGGGGAGTGAACCAGCGGATGGAAGACCTCTCTCTCTCTGCCTCTCCTCTGTCTGTGTAACTCTGACTTTCAAATAAATAAATAAAAATCTTAAAAAAAAAAGAAAAAGAAAAAGATGTAAAAAAAAAAAAAGAAAAGAAATAGGTAAAGCAGTTTTTTAGTTTTTCCTTTTACCTTCATATGTATTTAGGGGGTGAGCTGGATTAGTGATCCCTAAATTTGATCATACATTTGAATCACCTTTTTAAAGTATGAATTCCAATTTGACTGTCCCCAGTAAGCAGCAAGTCTTGGCAGACCTGTCCATATGCTAAAAACCCTGCAGCTATAAAACGAACAGCATGAGGCAGTCTGCAGATGTGTGACTGAGGCAGGTGCACTGCATGGCTTCAGAAGGATTCATGGCATGTGTCATGTGCCTACACACTGGTGTGTCCAGTGCTTTCTCCCTTTGGAGAAAGAGAAACTAGGGTGGGAAGTCCAGGCATGGGCTAGGTACATTGCACTGTATTAACCAAGTTTGTGTATGCATGTTTTACTGTGTGTGTGCATTATCTATGTATAATTTTATATATTATATTTTTAAACATTATAATTTCTGGCTTTGTCATCCAAAGAATTGTACATATCTGGGACAGATACAGGAATCGTCTGTATTTCTTAAGAACCAAGTTGATTCTGATGTGTCTAGCCAAGTGTTGGAAAATTGTAACATTATTTAACTCTTTTTATCTGGAAATAGGAAGAAGGGTGGTGACCCTCTTTTCTGATTTCCTGGGGCCACAGTCACGGAAGGCAAAGCTCCATCCTGATTTCTGGACGCATTCCCCTATGATTGCTGAACATGATTGGAGTTCAGGCGAGGAGCCTGGGCCCTGTCCCAGAGTTTCCAGGGAACATAGACACTGATCTCATGTCCATGAGGCAGGAATGAGGAGTAGAGAGCCTTAGCGGCCAAAGACCACCTCTGCAAACCTGCAGCAGGGAGACCACTCTCCAGAGCTGGTAGAGCAGGACAGACCTGGAATCTGGAGCTGGTTAGAGCAGTCTTAGTAGGAATTGGCCAGAGTGACCCGCGGGGGCCCTCTTCCTGGTCTGCACTTGGGCATCTGTGCAGTTACTGGTCAGTGTCTATGCTTTGCCCTGGGATGTGTGAAGAGGGTGGATGATTTTTTTTCACAGAATTTGTACTTGCTCTGTGATGAACTTCACTGTTCTGGTCTTCCAAGTCAGGTTATCTTTCAGAAGTTATGGTTTCTATTTAAATTCTCAATTCTCTTCCCCATTGCCCCCAAGAGCTGGTAGAAGTACCATTTTTCACTTTTCCAGGGTCTCTACTAGTAATTATACTTTAGATTCATAATTTTGTATTATTTAAAAAAATAATGCTTGGACTGTAGTAAATTCTGTATGTAGAACAAGAACTGGCCGGCGCCGAGGCTCACTAGGCTAATCCTCCACCTTGCGGCGCCGGTACACTGGGTTCTAGTCCCGGTGCCAGATTCTGTCCCAGTTGCCCCTCTTCCAGGCCAGCTCTCTGCTGTGGCCAGGGAGTGCAGTGGAGGATGGCCCAAGTGCTTGGGCCCTGCACCCCGTGGGAGACCAGGAGAAGCACCTGGCTCCTGCCATCGGATCAGCGTGGTGCGCCGGCCGCAGTGTGCTGGCCGCGGTGGCCACTGGAGGGTGAACCAACGGCAAAAGGAAGACCTTTCTCTCTGTCTCTCTCACTATCCACTCTGCCAGTCCAAATAGATATAAGAAAAAAAAAAAAAAAAAAACCAAGAACTCCATTGAATTTCATCATAATAGTCTTATAAGATGTTTTATTTGTTCTGTTGTAGTTTGCTGTATTTAATATTTACTACATTAAAACATCAGAAGAAAGATACTGGTACCTCAATAGAAGCTGGAAGACCCTGGGGTATAATTCTAAATTTATTTTTTCCCAGACGCAGGTAGGATAGGCTCTTCAAAGGTTTAAAAGCCAAAGGATTGACGTTTATTTCACTAAGATTGTTTCCTTCCAATTCTAAGGTAACCAGTTGATTTAAGCCTATAAAAAATAAAATAATCAGATTATTTGGAAAATTGGAAAATCATGCAATTTCTCTAGCCTATCAAAATGTCATGTGAATTATTCAGTCTGTTTGGAAACTGCAAGTATAGTTTCTTTGTTTCCATTTTGGATCTTTTTCCCAAATATATGCATATCCCAAGCCCAGATGCTCAATTCAGCCAGGCCTAAATGCACAGTTGGTGGAGAAGCCCTTTCAGAATGGCTATTATCCATGAGAGAGAGAGAGTAATAAATGCAAGGGGAACACTTACACACTGTCAGTGGGAATGTAAATTAATGCAGCTACTGTGGAAAACAGTATGGATATTTCTAGAAAGGCATGAAGGGAGGGAGGGAGGAAAGAAAGAAGAAAAGATATAAAAAGTCCACTACTGGGTATACCCTAAAGACATGAAATTTTATCAAAGAGATACTTGTTCAACCATATTTATATCAGTATGGTTCATAATAACCAAAATGTGGAACCAACCAAGGTATCCATCAGATGAATGCATAAAGAAAATATGGCATAAATACACACAATGGGATACTTTTCAGCTATAAGAAAGATTGAAATCCTATCATTTGCAGCAAAATGGATTGAAGTAGAGGATATCATGTTGAGTGAAATGAACCGACACAGAAAGACAAATGCTACATATTCCCCCTTATATGTGGGAGCTAAAATTTTTAAATCCTCATTATGAATGCAGAATGTTGATTCCTAGAGGTAGGAAAGATAAAGGGAGTTTGGATTACAAACATAGGAGAAGCTGAGTGTGGTTCATTAACTGGCAGTACTGTGAGATGTCAGTATGGGAGATGGAGTTGGAAAGTATATGAGAACTCTTATTACTACCTCACAATTTTGTTTTATAAATTGAAAACTATTCCAAAATAAAATGCTAAAATTTCATTTAAAAAAAGTAATCAGGGGCCAGCATTGTAGTGCAGCCAATAAAACCAGAATTGTGTCCCTGCTGCTCCACTTCCAGTTCAACTCCCTGCTAATGTACCTTGGAAGGCAGCGGAAGACGGCCCACATGCTTGGGCTCCTGACACCCATGTGGGAGACCTGGATGAATCTCCTGGCTCCTGGCTTCAGCCTGGCCCAGGCACGGCCATTATGGCCATCTGGGGAATGAACCAGTAGATGGAAGATCTCTCTGCCTCTCCCTTCCTCTCTCTGTCGCTCTGACTTTCAAATAAATAATTTTTAAGTAATTATTGAAATGCCTTGTGGTAAAAATGTTTAGGGAATAGAAGTAAGAGAAAGGAAAAGGATGGGGAGGAGCTCAGGGAAGTCTCCACGGAGGCAGTGCTGGCCAAGCAGGGATTTACGATTCAGATGGGCATGAAGCAGAGAATCATGGACGGTCACTGTAACATTTGCAAAGACCTGTGGGGATCAGGTGGCAGGAAGACAGGTGGGGACTTTGGTGCAGTGGAGCCTCCTTTTCCAGGACACTCTCGCTGGAAGACTCTCAGTCTCCGAGCAGGGGAGTTAGAAATAAAGACGAGCTGTGAGTTCCCTTCCTGGTTATTCAGTCATTGGCACAGAGTGCAGCCAGATGAAAGTTTGGAAAGAAAAAGGATCACAAATTCTCCATGTATTCAGACTTCTGAGCTACCAAGGAAGGCCTTTTTAAAAACAATTTTTTTCTATGCTGTTTAAACTGGCCTCGGGAGTAGTATCATCCAGGTCACCTGGAAGCTTCCCCCTGGAGCACCAGCCACCCAGAAGTGACGACACACAGAGGCATGTGAGGCAGAGGTTCAGGGCACGGCTAACATTCCCGGAATAGCAGGTGTTTTCCTTCTGAGCCCATCACAGGCTTTCCACCAGCGCCATGGGCAACCAGTCCTGCTTTTCCAACAGCCAAGGTGGCTGTATCAGGAGTAGAAATACTCACACGATCAGGGTGATTAAAACAAGGGAAAGCAGTGTAGTTTGTGGCACTTAAGTGCTGGGCTCTTAAGGGTAGAAAAATTTGGATAGAGGTGGGAGGGGCTCCTAGGCTAAATAGCCTGTGAATACAAGTAGGTATAATGCGGTTGGTTGTAGGGAGGAGTGCCCTAGGTTCTCTAGCATCAAGCAGAGGGTACATGACAAAAGCCACGTTGCACAAAGGTCATCTGTTGATAATTTTAGAATCAGTTGAAGGTCTGAATGACAGGAAATGAATGGGGGTGGGGTGGGAGGGCAGTCAGTAAGGTGCGTTAAGAGTGATATTTCCTCGTATTCTATTATTTCCCAAACTAAAGGTGCTGAGTTTCTAGCGTATCACTCTAGTACATAGGTGAGGTTCTGAAAAGTAATAAAAGTTTTCCATTGGAAAGTAGAAAATAGAAGTGAACTGATGATCATCCCATAGCCTCTCAAGAGAGAGACATGGTACAAGTTGCTGATACTGTATCTTTGCTTGCAGTTATTCTTGTGTGTGTGTTGGAAATACATTGTGTCAGAGCAAGTTTCTGGTAGGTTAAACAGGTCATGTTGAAACCAGTGCTCAGGAAAGCAGAAAATAGGTCCAGAGAGTCCCTCACTGTGAGTGGTGCCAAGACAGGCTAGGGACATGGCGGCAGCCAGTTTCCCCTCCATCCCTTACTCTCCCTTTCATTCATTTCCTCTCCACAGCAGGTCTTTCCCTGCTCAGTGCGTGCACACATCTCAGATGGACTACGCACATGCTCCCGGGGGTAGACCACCTCCTCCACTGCTGCCTCTCAAGACATCTGATACACTCTTGCCTGAGCTCCCAGGGCCTCCAGCATCAGCTTGTTGCCTTCCACTTTTCATATGCTCTCTCCCTGGTGCCCTCCTCCTGCTTCCCTGGAACTGCCAGCTGAAGGGCTGTGAAGGAGGAGCTGTCAGAAAGATGACAGGAGAGCAGCCACTGCTGGTGGTCAGACTTGGCCTGTGAGCCATGCTGGGCTCATTGCAACCTGCCTGACCATTTACAGCCACAGGACCCCTGAGTTTGAGGCACCAGCTGCTGCCCCAGTCAAGAATCCTGTATCCAGGGGCCAGCACCACAACAAGACTAAGAACCCATCATTCCTGGAAGTACAGGAGGGCTTTCTGGGCAACAGGACACCTAAGAGCCTTCTCTCTAGCCACCTGCATGGGCACAAGATAATCTTGGTGCTCAAACTGTGGAGACAGGAGGCAGGCAGCCAATTTACCCTGGCCCACACTCAGAACTCTGGGAATATAGAAGTCTTTCTGCATGGTAGAGAATATGCTGAGTTCCAGGGCTGTTCAACATACCTTCCATATAAAGAACTTACATTTTATGAAATACCATTTTGATAACACCGCTATAAATGTGAACTCATACATAGTCATACACAGCCTACTAATACATGTGTTCAAAAGTAAGTGTTCCCTTTGGCTTCTGTTTAACACAGCAGTTAGAAACTGAATTTTCTAATGTCTTTTCCGTATGGCAATACCCATCAGAACATGTGTTTATTAGTGTTTTTCATGTCTACCCTGAAATCCATCTGGAAATTGAGTATTTCCAAAACTGTGGAATGAATCCTCAGACTTGGCAGTTGTCATTATTATTGTTGTTTTCCCACTACCAAGTGTTCCTGTGAAGGACTGGGAGAGCTAAAGAAAGTAATTGAACTATTTTACTGCAGTAAAAGCTTGGTTTATCAACATTTACATAATAAACATATTTCATATCAAGTAAACGGAAGGTGTTGATCACTGTACCACAAGAGCCCTGCTAGATTGTTGGGAAGATAACAAGCAAAATTAGGCAGTGTTTGTCTTAAGGAAGCACACGTTTTAGTCAAAGGTGTTAGCCAGAACCCTTGAAGTGAGATGTGATTCAGCCTCTGCTATAGAGTTGCAGTATGCTGACTTCAGTGCCTTAGCACAGGCTAGAAACTAGTGTAAGAGGAGCTGGTTCCAGGAGATTCAAATGTACCCTCACTGGAGTTTGACCAACAGACACCAAGCCTCAACAGTGGAGTGCTTCACTCCACTCGTCATGAGGTGTGGAAGAAGGACCTCAGTGATGCACAGGTACCAGGAGTGCCAGCCCAAGCCCTCTCAGGACCAGAACTGCCAGAGGTGAAGTTCAGTATGCTCACCATAGCCTAGACTAGCACACCTCAGATACAGTGCCTGTTTATTCCTCTTTTGTATACAATTCTTACGTACTTTGTTTTAGGTTTCCACACTAGGCAGATTGAAATAGCGAAATGTGTGGAGGTAACAATAATTGTGGGTGGGGTATGTTGATCACCTGAGTGGTAAAGATCCAGTCACTCAACCACCAAAAACCACCAAAAACGTCAGTACTTAACACCAAGACTCATGGTGGTGCAGGGAATGTTGAATGTCACTCTTCATTATTAGCAATTGTAGTAGAGTTATTATGTTGTGAATGATGAGAATCTGCAGTTGTTCAATGTTTTATTTAAGATTTTTTTTTTCTTAAGGAAAAGGGCAGTTTAAAATATGGTAGCTCCCTCTCCCCACCTATGGGTGATATATTCCAAAACCTTCCAGTGGAAGCCTGAAATTGCAGATGGTACCAAACTCTGTAGACTGTTGTTTTCTATGCATACATACCTATGATACAGTTTAATTTATAAATCAAAATAAGAAATTAGCAATAACAATAATAGAACAATTATAACAATGTAATAAAATTTTGTGAACATAGTTCTTCACTTGAAAGAGGGAAGACAAAAACACTAATTTTGTGAATATAGTAAAGACAAAAATACTAATAATGACTGAATACAAGTAACTGAAACTTTGGAAAGTGAAACTATGGAAAAGGGGAGACTACTGTACATTTTAAGTTTTACAGGTCAGTAGTTAAAATAACTTCTATCAACTCAAGTGGTAAAGTGACCTAAAATATTTAGTATTTATTCATTTAGTATTTATTCATTTACAATACTGTAAATAGAATTTCCACACTATAGAAAAAAGGTTATGAGGAAGCATATCATTTTAAAAATTGTTAAATACCTGATAAACTCTCTTCATCAATACCCTGGAGATTGTTCTCATTGATTTTAAGTTCTTCTAATGTAGATGGTAATTCTGAAGGAATCTCTATCAAATTATTTCCATCCATGTTCAGACGCATTAACTTCTTCAGGAACTTTAAAAAAAAAAAAAAAAGCAAGTGTCAGAATTACCTTTTTATCAGGTCACAGCTGTAAGTTACATGTCCCACATAGTGGTGGTCAGAATGAAACAGTGGCCAAAAATTTCACACAACTGCAGTTCCCTCAGCTTAGACAGTAACATCCAGGCTATGGCAATCCTTATTTCTTTCATCAGGGAGATACTGATCTTGGCGATTTAAATTGATTCTCAGGCATTTCCAGCAAGCCTCATTTCACAGACTTTGCATCCATTTTACCCAGGTTGATCCTACTTCCTTAGAGAGGAAGCTGGGAGCTGAATATTTAACAGAACAGCTAAAACAGCCACATCCACATCGGAGTGCGTAGGTTTGAGTTCCAGTTCTATTCCTGATTTCAATTCCTGCTACTGTGCACCCTGGGAAAAAGCAGTGCTGGCTGAAGCGGTTAGGTCTCTGCCACCTACGTGGGAGACATATATTGAGTTCCTAGCTCCTGACTATGGCCTGACCCAGCCCCAGCTACTGGGGGCATATGGAGAGTGAACCAGCAAATGGGAGATCTGTCTGTCTCTCTACCTCTACCTCTCTGTGTGTCTGTCTCTGTGCCCTTTAAATAAATAAATAAATAATTTAGAGAAATAGAGGAAGCTGTTAAAGTAGTAGACAGAAATTCCATTAAATCCTGCAGTTAGATGAGTCTACTGTGGGTGCTAATAAATAAAATCAGCTTAATCCTTTTAACATATGAGTATTTATACACCTCAATCTCCTACCTACACTAGAAAAAGGCTCATAAAATAGCACTTAATTGCTGTGGAAGTTTTTCAAAATGAGTACTACAAGTATTGCAAGCTATTGCTATATGGTACTTAAATAATTGACTGGAAAAGTGTGTTTTCCACGTTTTCCAGGCCTCACCTCCACCACCAAGAGTAGAGACCTGAGTTAGGTTTCATCGAAGCCATGTGAATGAGTTTCTTCAAATTTCAACAGTTTTAAAGCAGAACAGAGAATCCCAAAGCAAGAAAAGGAGATAATCTCCTGCAGCATTTTTTTCTTGATCAATTTCAGCGACTGACTCCCTAAGGCCAGCCATTGTGCTGTCAGAGTGGCTGGTGTGGAGTAGGTACCCGGAGGCTTCTTGTGTGCCAGCTGAGACTCCAGATGAGAACCAGGAACTGAGAACATGGAAGGGACAGAAGTCTGGGTGGGACACAGTATGCTTGCTTCTGGCTTGAACAGCACACACAGATGTGGTTTTGTTTCCACACCCAAGCATCTCCTCTCTTCCATCTTTGATTCCTTGATCCTCTTTTCTTATTTAAACAAAAAATCTCGTCAGCTTTGAATCCCTCAGAGGTTTGCCCGTGAGTGTGTCCAGAAGCCCCACATGCCAGTGTTCTCCAGCAAGTTTTGTGCATTGCACAAAAATAAGGTAACAGCAGCAGGGTCTTGCTGGCCTTAACATGTTAGTAGAGGTTCCAAATAAAGCTCTGCTTTACTTCCAGAAAATATTTCATATCTAGGAGACCAGATTTCAACTCGTTTTCAGCTGCCTAAGAAGAAACTACTCCAAAAATTCAAAACATCTGCCTTGTCACTGATGCTACTATCGATGCCCTTAGGCTGAAGCTAAAATGATGTAAAAACAACCAAGAATATTTAAGAGAAAACTTAAGAACCGTTTAAGGACATAAAAGAGGAGACTTTGTTGCCTTAGAAGAAAACGTCCCCTCAGGAACACTGTGCTTTTCCTTTCTACCCTTCTTTCACCAGGACTAGTGCAAGCCATCCACTCGGTGTGGTGCATGAATCGGGCTGTGCTTACCTTGAATGCTTTCAGACCCACACCTGAGGAGGTGATATTATTTTTGCTGAGATCAAGCCTTTCCAAGTTGGGTAATCCATTAAATGCTTCATCCGGGATGGAGGTGATGGAGTTGCCTAGGACATGCATAGTGTGTGTTAGGTGTGTGTACAGAAAGATACATTTGAACGTGTGGAGGGGCTGTGTGCATAAGTGCATGTGTGTGTGCATAGGGCAGATGTGTGCATGGATATCAAGAGAGCTTTATCTGAGGAGAGGGCAGGTCTTTTATAACAAGATGGATTATCTGTTCTATATACAAATTCATGTTCCAGAAATTAGGACAGTTTAAAATTTTTCTAAGGATTCATCACATACCAGTTCATCATGTTGTAGATGAAACTGCTTAAAAGGCCCAAACGGAGTCTGTTGGTCAGTGCTGTTGGCTTCGTGCGTTTATAATGAGGGTATGTTTCTGGAAAGTTATGCAGGAATGAATTTTTACTCAGTGTTTTTCCACTGTTGCTTCCCCAGACTGGGAAAATGATGAAATCTGAATCACACATGTCCTCTGAACACTGTCCTCCGTGGTATAAGCAGTTTGGGGAAACCACTTCTCAGACCCCCCAGATCTAACGTTACATCTCTAGGACTTCAATCTACAAAGGTCCCTACATGCTTTAATTTTATGGCTTTTTGTTTTGATGTTTAGTTATGTACAGTAGTTGAAGACTTTAAACCCAGAAAATGAGCTTACTAGAAGTCACAGATGGTATACAAGCCACATGGTGACTTGCAAAACCAAAACAGTGCAGCTCAGCATGGGTCATCTATCTTCTGAGGGCACAGTGTGCCTGGGCTGCAGTCTGCTCGAGAAGTGCCCTTGCTGGGCCTGGGAGCAATCCTTAGGCAGTCTTGTGAAAGTGAGAGGAAGTCCAGTGTCGGGGCAGACATGAATGATCTTGCACGTTTGACACTGGCCGTGTCCTTGTTGCAGATGGCTCTCCCTTCACATGCATCTGACTCCCTCGGATGCCCTCATCCTGTCTCTTCAGGGCCACCCTGGTGTGTTTCTGCCATTTAGCCCCTCACATAGGGTCCTACTGCTCCATCACTCAGAACCCTCCCATAGGTGCTATGGAGATGAGGACAGAAGATCTGGACCACCGTATTCTCAAAAGAACGATGAAAATGAGGAGAAAACAGCTGTCAGTGCCAAGCACTGGCAGGACACACAGCTGTGGGAATACTCTGGCATGCTGATGGGAATGGCAAAGCCACCTTAGAACTGTCAGGCTGTTTCCTAGAAAGGTGATCCCGCATTTACAGTGTCGTTCAGCTGCCCCACTCCTGGGCGTTACCCTAGAGAAACAAGAGCTGTGGTACACACAAACATCTGGATGTGGATTTGGTAAGCAACTTTGTAGATTATCATCTCAAACTGGAAACCACCCAAGTGTTCCTCAGCTGGTGACTGTGGTCCCTCCATACACTGGAATGTGACTCGGTGCTCATCCAGAGAGAGGAAGGAACTTCATGTGCACGGAACCAAGTGGATGACCTAGAGAACTCTGGGAGCCCAGCTGAAAGGCTGTGTACTGTCTGGTTCCTTTTACATGATTCCCTTGAGAAAACAGAACTCTAGGACAGGAAACGGGCCAGTGCCTGGTAGAGGGAGGACATGGAGGATTTGCTCTAAAAGGAATGTTGAATCTGGTGCAGTTATATCATGTAGGTATTTATCAAAACTCACTGAACACCAGGTTTGCTGTATATTAATTACACGTCATTAAAGCTAACTTTTAGACAGTCCCTAGGAAATCCTCACCTAACCTGGAGGAGCCTGCTGTCGACCTAACTGCACTTCTTCTGTGAGCTCCTGTTTCCTCTGCAAAGTTTATTTGTACGTGTAAAGATGGTGACCGTAACTATGCAGGGTCAGTTTTTATTATGAAATTAAAATACAGCATCCATAAACCATGGCGGCCATCCCTTCCTTTCAAAGCACAAAGGAAGCCAGCATCTCTTACCGACAAGCTCCAGACTGGTTATCTGCGGCGCGGCCAGCGGTGGGATCTGGCTGAGGTCCGCGTGGATGCAGCTGATGGTCCTGTAGGACAAAGAGCACCCAGCGGGCAGGCGCAGGGCACCTCTTGGGGGCGCGGGGAGTGGGGACCTGGAGGGTGTTCGGAACATGTCTCCTCTCACAGCGTCATTCTCCTCCTCCTCGCCTCGCTCGTCTTCCTCGTCTTCCTCCTCTGCCTCCTCCCCATGACCTTGTTGTTGGTATGGTGGCCTCCCCTCCTCCACAGGCTTCTGCTTCCTCTGTCCTCCACTCTGCCCCTCGTGAAGTTTTCCCCCATCTCTAGGGCCAGGGGTGTCTCTCTCATGCTCCACATCATCCTCTTTAATTTCTTCTTCGTCCTCTTCAGACTCAAGGGCTTCTCTTCTTGACCCTTGGTCCGTCTGTACCTGAGCAGGCGGCAGCTGCTTGTGAAGTAAATGGACAGGTTCTCTTTGATCTGAAGAATCACCAGAAAAGGCAGTGCTGTCTTGTAATGCTATGTCACTGAGTAGGGGAGAGGAGACTAAGCAGGTACAAGAAGAAGGTGGCAGGGGCAAGTTGATGATGTTAATGAAAGGAAAATCATAAAATGAAGTTAGTAAATATTATTCCCTCCAGGTGTTGAGTGCAAAATGAAATGTATTGCTTGAAAAGTTTCAGTAGTAACTGTATATCTGTTTTGCTAGATCTATAAAGAGAACTCTCCTTTTTGGCTTTTGCACCTTTCTACTAATTTATGTATTAAATAATTCAATGCTTATTTTATGCTAAAATACCCTGGTATCTGGTACCCAGAGAGGGAATAATATTGGCACACACTACAAGATGGTGAGAAGTGCTGGTGAGCTTGTGGGATAAGCAGATGTGATACCTTTATAATAGATACTGTCCTGTTAATTGGGAGGTATTGATAATGTGAGAATTATAGACTGGCATTGGACATTTTTTAAAAAAGTGAAACGTATCTCTTATTTGTTTGTAGTAGTAAACTGTCTTTTGTTTATAGATTTTTTTCAATGTGTCCATTCCATGGACCTAATGGCATCCTCTGAAATTCAGAATTACAGGTGGAAAATTCCCTTCTTCCTACCCAGACTCTCTGCTTAAATCAATTTCACTGCCTCAGGTCGTAGACAATGTCCTGTACTTAACAGATGTTGTTATGCCTCAGGCACCTGCAGAGGGTCATCCATCATCCATGATGATGTGTGGAGTGGAGCACAGTACAAAGTTAGTCTGCATTTACATTTAGCAGGCAAAGTGGGGGAGGACCTGGCTAAAACCAGGCAGACTCATCTCAGTAAAGAGTTCTGGGGGGACTATACCTGAGGAGACCAGGGATGGAAGAAGAGTTCTGCGGGGAGGAGAATCATCAACATTGACAATTTGTTTAATACCTCCCTTCTGCTATTTAATTCTATACATAGACTACCCTCCAAAAGAACTCAGAAAATAAGTTATTTGAAGAAATTACTTAAAGTATCAATTCAGTAAATATTATAAAGTCTAGGTGTTATTTTTATCACATCTTTGGCAAGACAAGCAGAAGAACAGGGAAAAAAATTAGTTAAAGGAAACTAAAACTATCATATTGAAACATTTAAAATCCTTCCCGTATATCCAAGTTTATTTTTCCAAAATAATTACAACACTTCAAGAATATTCTAAGTCCTTTGAGAAAGATCTAAGAATCTCTAAACCTTATAAACCTTGTATTTACTCCAAGGAATCATTTTCATTAAGTACTTTTAAAACATTTTTTAAAAGCACAATGCTTTAGTGAAATAACTGATAATACCAAGCAAAATATGATTTCTAAATATTCTAAAGTTCTTCCTGGCAAGAGATCATCACTGCATATGAGAATGATCTGCTTTGGTTACAGACAAGAGAAAATGTCCCTCTCCCTGCTCTTCAGATCATTTACCAAGCATTTGCCTGTCTTCGTAATGCACTGGTTGGGCTTCTCTTGGAGGAGCTCTGGACCTCCCTCCCAAGGGCACCCACTCAGTCACGTTTGAGGGGGGCTCATGAGCAGCTGACAAAGCCCGAGCTGTGGCCTCCGGTACACAGGAGCACCACACTAGGAAACCACTCCCCTGGATTACCCAGGCAACCATGCTGGTTCCTGCACAGGGACTCTGTTCTCTCCAGGTACAAATCACTGCTGCTTTGTTCAACCTGTGTCCTCCCAGGAGATGATAATTGTACTCATGAAGAGTCAGATTGAGACAGTGCATTTCAGACCGCAGCAGAACCCTTAATTCATGATAGTAAGTCGGGATCTGATGGTTGTAGATGTTCTGTCACTGGGTCTCTCATGCTGAGAGTCCGATGTGGAGTGGAATCATAGAGCCAGAATGAAGAAGTCACTGTTATTGCTGTCCCTACCATACCTTCTCAAATATTTTCTATGTTTACCAACATTGTGCCAATTTTGTAAGTACCCTGATAATTAGTTTATCATAATTTAAAACTTAAAGTAGTGAGGAAGTAAAAACAAATGTAAGTCATAGACCAAAATCACACAAGGTATCTTTGTTTTGGCTACATCTCTATACCGGCATTGGGGCAGACAGGACAGCACTCCCCCTCGTGTGTGATGGGGTGGGGGCAGCTCTGGGGGCGGCACATGGTCTCATCACATAACACTGTTCCGTCTGAGCAGAGGCAGGTGGTGCAGGGATCCGGAGACCACACGGCTCTGTTGTGCATGGCCATGCCCTTCACCAGGCAGCGCCCCTTCCTTCCTAGGAGAGAACAGAAGCACTCGGTCTCTAATGTGGAGTAAGTGGGCACAGTATGAAGTCAAACTGGTATAACCACAGAAATAGAATTCTGTGTATATTCATGCACAGAGTGAAAAGTCTTCAAGACGTAATTCTTGGAAATGTTTTTTACTGGCTGTCCTCCCACTACCGCTGCGAGTGACCTCCTCGTGGTGACTTGACTGAATTAGGTGTCCATCCTGCACCTATCAGAATAAACAAGCTACACAGCAGCAGCAGACAGCCCCCGGCTCCCAGTTGTTCCTCACTCAGGCCATGTATGCCCCGGGAACGCCTGGGGTTTGGCTCATGGTAGTCACTTAGTGACAGATGGCAGGCTTCCACAAGCCTGCCACCCTGATGGCTGCCACAGTGGGAGCACAAGGCTGCAGATCACGCTTGAGCTGTAAAAGTGGCTATAGTCTGGCACCATCTGACTTCAAGGGGCCAGCAGTGCAATTTCCACTGTGTGCCAGGAGCTGACACAGCAACAGTGGTGAGCCCACAGGAGCACTTTTCTGTGTCCTTCCCAATGAACCACAACTACCTCTCTTGAGCTATCCCATTATTGAAATATAATTCATATACCATAATATTCACTCTTTTAAAATCACAATGCAATGGCATTTAGTATATGCATTTCTGCACATAAAAGGTTGTAGGTAACTGGATGTATGTATCAGCTGAGCAGGTATCCAAGAGCTTAGGGGAATGTCAGGGATGTTTTCCTTCCAGCCCTGGTATCTCAGTAACTCACCTGCCTCTGAGCCATAGTCCCCAAACTGTACCTTCCCCCACCACTGTCTCAGTTCAGGCCCTACTTACCTCTCATTTGGATATTTGTGTTTGTTTATTTGTTTGTGTGGTTTTTTTTTTTTTTTTGACAGGCAGAGTGGACAGTGAGAGAGACAGAGAGAAAGGTCTTCCTTTGCCGTTGGTTCACCCTCCAATGGCCGCCGTGTCCAGCGTACCACGCTGATCTGAAGCCAGGAGCCAGGTGCTTCTCCTGGTCTCCCATGGGGTGCAGGGCCCAAGCACTTGGGCCATCCTCCACTGCACTCCCTGGCCACAGCAGAGAGCTGGCCTGGAAGAGGGGCAACCAGGACAGAGTTCAGCGCCCTGACTGGGACTAGAACCTGGTGTGCTGGCGCCGCTAGGCGGAGGATTAGCCTAGTGAGCTGTGGCACCGGCCTCATTTGGATATTTGTAACAGACTAATCCCACTCCTTGAGGAAAAAAATACACATATGATTTGTTTCCTGATTATAAAAGTACTACACCCTATCATATTCCAGTGACCTTTTTTGCAGAAATGGAAAAGCTAATCCTCGAATTCGGATGAAATTACAGGGGATCCCAAATAGCCTAAACTCTCTCAAAGTTGGAGTTCTCACATTTCTAGATTTCAAAAAACTACAAAATGTTTCCCATAAAGCTGTAGTAATCAACTTATGCCAATGTGATACTCTTGTAAAGTTAGACATAAGGACCAATGGAATAATGAAAATCCAGGCACACGTCTAAGGGCAGCTGATTTTCAACAAGTATACCAAGACCATTCGGTGAGGAAAAGAACAGTGTCTAACAAATAGTGCTAGGACAACTGGACAACTGCCTGCAAAAGAATGAAGCTGCACCTTTTACCTGACACCATATTGCAAAAATTAATCCAAAATGAATCAAACATTATAATACTAAAGTTGAGAATATAAAATACTTAGAAGACATGTATAAATCTTCATAGCCTTGTATTTGGCAATGGATTCTTAGATGTGACACTGAAAACACAAACTACACAAACAAAAGATAAATTGGACTTCATCAAAATTAATAGTTCGTATCAAATGACATGGTCAGGAAAGTGAGGGAACAGCATATACAATAGGAAAAAATATTTGCAAATCATATGTAAGAGTCTAATAGCCAGAATGTTCATAAAGAAATCTTGCAATTCAACAACAGAAAGAGAACCCCAATAAAACTTGGGCAAAATGGGGACCACACTATGGCACAGTAGGTTTAGCTGTCAGTGGTGATGCTGTCTTCCCATATTGGAGTGCTGGTTCAAGTCCTGGCTACTCAACTGGTTCTACAGCTTCCTGCTGATGGACCTGGGAAGGCAGTGGATAATGGCACAAGCACTTGGGCCCCTGCCGCCCACATGAGAGAATAGGATGGAGTTTCTGGCTTCTGAGTCTGGACTAGCACAGACCTGGCTATTGAGGCCATTTGTGAGTGAACCAGTCATGGAATGATCCTCCTCCCTCCCTCCCTCTCTCTTTCTCTGACACTCTGCCTTTCAAATAAATAAATTAAAAAAAAAAAAAAAAAGGAACAGGGAGGTCATAGATGTAGCTGCTGTTTGGATGGGAAAACTGACAACTATTCCTGTAGATCTGATAAAATGCATCTATAAGTGTATATGCAGCCAAAGAAGAGGAATTCAAAAGTACCTAGTGAGACCAGAGCCACTCCCCATTTATGCTGCACCACCTCTGTAGTTTAAATATGTTGAAGAGCAGCCTAGTCACTTTTAAGTGGGTTTTGCGTCCATCTGTACTAGAGCTAGTTATTATATTGGCTGGTGCAATGGTGTTTATGTCTTTGTGGAAAGCGGGATAATGGATATAATACAATTTGAAAAAGATGCATGTCTATCTGAAGATATTTTCTTCTAAAGATTAGAATAATTAGTTCCAGGATAGGTGGGCTTGATTTGAGCAAATAAAAGGTTCTAGATTGAAGAAAATTGCTTATCCAGTGGGACTGACCACTTTAGGAGCAACTGCTTGGTATCCAGTTCATTCAGTGATACTAGTTATACTAACTTGAGAAAAGGCATGTGCTACAAATCAACAGATGTATGAAGCAGTTAAATCATGGCAGATAAAAAGCAACAAAAAAGACTGACTCCCAGAACCTAAAGAAAAAACTGAGCTGGAAAGCTCTGCTGAAATAGAAGAACCTGGAGAAACAACTTCTGTTCTGAAGCAGTGCCTTTGCCAACAGAACTGAGTTCTGAAAGACCAAAGCAGAATCTACCTGAGGTACTACACAGTTTATGCCTGACCCCACGCTCATGGATCACAGGCTGTCCCATGCAGAAGATATAGATGTGTGCAGCAGAAGCTGAAGTAAACTGTAGAGAGAACTACAAGATGGGTGGAGTTTGAAATAATGATGAAAATAAACATGTACTAGGATGTATAAAGTATAACTTAAATTATTCCCCGATACCTTCAACTGTACAGTTTCACCAATCACATGAGTGATTAAAACACAAACTGAATGCAATCTAAATACTATTAAACGATTAATGAGCAGACACAAGTAGAAATACTAGGGTGCATATGATGGCTCTAAAGGACATTTATTAAAAATAGGGTAAGTATATGAGTACCAGTGAGCCTAAAATCTGTATATTTTTATATATGCACATATGTATTTGCTCTAGCTTTTCTAAATTAATGTCAGTTAAATTAGGATGATGTGTGGGAAGATGTGTTCCCCCTGTGGTTTTTTTTTTTTTTTTTTAATTTCCTGGCAGTGTAATGAAATAGCGATATTTTATTATCAAAAGAAAAAGTAACAAATGCTCACAAGAATGTGCAGAAATTGGAATCTTTGTACATTGGTGGTAGGTATATAAAATAGTGTCTGTTTCAGGAGACAATCGGTGGTTTCTTAGCAAGTTAAATCTAAAAATCAGCATATGGCTCTGAAGTTTCACTGCTAGATAACATGCCCAAAAGGATTGAAAGTAGGTGTTCAAATAAAACCTCTACACGAGTAGAAATAGCTGTGCTGTTCACAGTAGCAAGCAGAAGGTAGAAACGATCCAAGCATCCTGTGGCTGACAAATGGATAATAATAAATATGGTCTATCTGTACAATGAGAGATTATTCAGCCATGAAGAGCAAGGGAATTCTGATATGGGCTAAACATGAATGAATCTTGAAAACATTGTACTCACTGAGAGATGCCATTTACACCAGGCCATATGTATGTGATTCCATTTATATGAAATCTCCAGAAGAGGCAAATTCATAGATAGAAACAGGGGGTAGATAAGAAGTTGCCAGGAGCTGAGGATAAGGAGGAATGAGAACATTATGTGCAGAGTTTCTTTTTGGAATGGTGGGTATGTTCAGGACTAGAGAGGGATGATGTTGGCACAATATAGTGAATATACTAAATGCCATTGCATTATATTCTGTAAAGTGGTTAAAGTGGTCAATTTTATGTATAGTAATACAATAAGATAAGAAGTACTTTAAGACCACTAGAAAATACTTTTGGGCAAATTACAAATGTTTAGTATACATCTTCTGTACTTTTTAATGCATACTTCCCTGTATCACATATTTAAAACCTTTTAAACAGATGTGAAATCACATTATGCATATACTATTTTTTTTTACCTTTTTATTTTCTATCATTGTGTATCTTCCAGTTAACTAAGGAAATTGACCTCATTCTTTAAGAGCTATGGGTATATGTTTGTTACAGTGATCTTTTCCGTTGATTTCTCTGCCTTTCTTTTTCCGCTCGTGTCGACAATGTGGCCTGAGTTGCTTATTTGCATGATAATTGTATGTTATTCATGGAAATAATAACTCAGAAGCATTTGGCATTACTGAGATGATGTATGAAGTATTGGCCTCAGAAAATTATATAGTGATATTTTCTTCTGTCTTGTGAAGGTTGTATTTAATGATAACATATCTAAAATATAATTTTTTTCTTTCAAACTGGGGAAAATGTGGACCATTAAATACTAGGTTTTGAAAATGCCTGTTGAAATCTTTGGCAGTACTTCCAGTTTTTTTTTTTTCTGCCTTTAAAAAATCAGTAGTTTAGTCTATATAGATTCAGTGGCTTTAACTTGTGGTTGAAAAAAATTTTGGTTAAAAATGTTTAGTAGACTTGTGTTTATAGAATCATCTGAAATAATTTGTTTCTATAATATAGAAGAACTACAATGAAAAGGCAGTTTATGAATTTATGCTTATATTGTTCATGTTATCCTAACAACTAATTAAATACACACATAGTAAATATACTGAAAAGAAATAGACCAAAATGGAACTATAAGTTTATAATTATAATCATGATTAATTATTTTTTCCTTTTCCAGTAATTTTGTATTGAAAGTATGTTCCTCAGTTGATTTTGTTAATTATAAAAATTTATCTTTGTAGATTGAACATAAGGTAATATAACTTGCGTTTTTCTTTGGAAAATATTTTCACAAAGATTCTTGTCTTCCCCCGCAATGCTGTTCTCTTACCTGGTAACACATTATAACTTGATTCTACTCCAGGAAAACTTGAAAAGGATTCAAACTTGTCCTCTGTGCTGTCATCAAAGTTAACAATGGGAAACCTTGGTGCTGATGTAGCTGTCATCTGCTGCACTCCATGCTTTCTGTCTGATCTGCGGCTGGGGGAGGAGCTTTTCCTCAGTCTCCTGTAACGCATCTTCCTCCCTTGCCTCCTCGGAGTCTCTTCATTTTGTCCAAAGTCAGTTTGAAAAATGATCAGTAGAACAAAGCAAAACAAAACTGCAGACTTCATGTTTGATTTTTCCACCAGCCAATTTCTAGAATGAAATAAAAGTTCCAAGTTAATAGTGACTGAATCTTTACCTATGAAAGGCTTGTAATTGTATGTCTATGAGGACGTCTTTAAGAAAACTCATGTTATGTAGACAATATGCTATAATTTTACTGACAAATTAGAATTTAGAATTTTTCTGTCAGAACCAAAGAACCTTTCACATCTTGCCTGTAGACTTGGCATAGCAAACATTTTCTATAAAGTGCCAGATAGTAAATAATTCATGATTTATGGGCTGTACATTCTCAGTTGTAACTACCCAGCTCCGTCGTTGCAGCACTAAAGCAGTCATAGATGATGTGTGAACGAGTAACTACGGCCAAGTGCCAGTAAAATGCTTGTTATAAAACAAGGCAGTGGGCAGACGTGGCTCCCAGGCCCTAGTTGGCTGTCCCTCCTCTGGGCCTCCCCGTGCTGTAGGTTTTCCACTATTATTTGGGAATTTTCTCTCCACCTGCCATGCCACAGTGCTGCCCTGTGACCAATGTCATCCACAAATCATTCTTCCAGCCCCTCTCTGTTTTCTCTTATTCTCTGACTTCCTGATTTTCTTTGCTGGGAGGGAAGACATGATTGTACCCTGTCAAAGGAACAGTAAACTAGCGTAAATGATAAGGAGGTAAGGGAATGAGTAACTCTTAGCTGATCTTGAGGACAGGACAGGGTACTGGTGAAGCTGAAGAATGGATTCAAGTATTTTGACACTGTAAATGCAGCAGCCATGTGGTCCAGCAGGCCGGTGCAGTCAGCCAGGGAGCAGGGACAGGGCAGCAGAAAATGCACAGGCAGTCTCAGGACTGGCCCAGCGTCTGCAACTGCTCAGAGGCCACATCACTGGTGACCCCCTCCCCTCATGGCCCCTCACTGTCAGGGAGAGCTCTCAGATGGGAAGCCCCTCCACACAAGCTGGGCACAGAGGAGAAACGGAAACTCCAGGGATCACAAAAACCTTGCTGCTAACATCCTTTAATGAGAATTTAAGAAATCTGGTGGTTTATAGTCAAGTAGCAACCTCACTCAGCAATGAAATCTACCCTAGTTCTTAAAAGGCCTGCCTTGGTCACCTCTGTCAACCAAAACAAATCTGCTATGTTTCAGAAATAGTCACTCAAATGTTCAAGGTTATGTTACATACAGATTAAAACCTGACCTGCAAAGCAGAGACTTTGAGGGGTAATACCTCCCTGAGGGGTTAATCCCCTCAGATAATAGATGCCCACACGCTGTCAACCAGCTCCTTTGTTGAGACCTTAAAAAGTAAGTGAAATGCCTCTAAGCAGCTGGCCCAACCTTTCTGCCTGGTTACTGGACCAAACAGTAGTAATCAGCTGAGACTCTGATGTTCCTGTCCTAGAGGCCTGCGTCACAACCTAAAAGCAAGCATAGGAGGTTCCAAGGGCATCTAAATAGAGAGACCAACTACTAGGGGGAGTGCATTCTTCCTCAAGCAAGCATCTGCCACCCAAAAATTCAGGACATGCCTGTAGTCCCTTTTTTTTTTTTTTTTTTAAGATTTATTTATGCATTTGAAAGGCAGAGTTACAGAGGCAGAGAGAAAGACAGATCTTCCATCTGCTGGTTCACTCCCCAAATGGCCAGAGCTGGGACAGTCTGGGGCCAAGAGCCAGGAGCTTCTTCCAAATCTCCCATGTGGGTGCAGCGTCTGAACAGCTTAGTCCATCTTCTACTGCTTTCCCAGGCCATAGCAGAGATCTGGATCAGAGCAGCCGGGACTTGAACTGGTGCCCATATGGGATGCTGATGCTGCAGACAGCAGCTTTATCTGCTGTGCCACAGCACCAGACCCCTGTGGTCACTATTAAATCAAGCCAAAAACATGTTGTAGCCTTCTCTGAATAGAAACCTATAATGATTGTAGCAAATGCTATTTTTTTGCATCCTGCCATATTGTACCTGGAGGCCAAGAATATGAGCACTGTTTGTGTTGCTCTAACAACTTTCCTGCCAGCTGGCCAGCCAATAACCGGAGTGGGTTGGTGGAGTAGGACTTGTGAGGCTGTGAAGTTAGTTCATCGTCAGCTCCCCAAGAACCCGTCAGTCATTACACCAGCAGGGTGACAAAACAAATCTGACTTTACCTCCAGCATATGCCCTCCCACCTGAAACAGCTGAAAAGTCAGACGAAATAGATGAAATGCTTCCAGACATTTAAACCCAGAGCTATTTGGTTTGTTGGTCCTGTAGAGAGGAGGCAAATGAAAGTAAACTCTGTGATCCACTCACTGTCCAGAGTGGCTATCCAGGCCACAGTTTAGGGAGAGGGACCTAGGCAGTCTCTCTGAGCTGCTGACATGGACCTGTTCACCAGAGAGAACAGGGTCTGCAAGGCAGGAAACAGAGAAATGAGAGCTGCCCAGGGAAGCCTCCCAGAGATCTCCCATCTTTGACTTTGCTAGTAGCATGTGTGTAATCAAATACTCAATACCTAAAGGGCAAAGGGCAAAAACCCTGGAGCTTGAAAATGAGTTTGTGAACCAGCATCCAGAGTGGAAGCCCATACAGTCCACCAGTCTCTGGCAGAGTGCTCAGAAGGGCCTTCGCTCAGTACAGGAGATGGTTAGTCCTAGGCTGATGGCTGCCTGGACTCCATCTAACAGACCAGACAGGACTCCTGGTAATTAACTGTGTGCCCAAGCAGCTAAGTGTAAACTCACCAGGCACACAAAGAAGCAAATGGGACCCCAAATTATGAGAACAGTGAACCCATTGAAGCCAGTCCAGAAATGACACTGCTGAGGTAAAGATTAAATAGGCCATTGAAGGTTATTAGAACTGTATTCCATATGCTAAAGAAAGTATAGGAAATACTAACCCTGTTGAAATAGAAATGTGGAGCTATTTTTTCAAATCCAAGTCACACTTTTAAAGATGAAGACTACAGTGTGAGAGAGAAGAAAACACAGAAGAATGAATAGCACATTAGACATTACAGGAAAACAGTGAAATTTTTCCAAAAAAATTTCAAAAACTACAAAAAGAAATAGACAAATCCACATGTATCCAGAATTTTTAAAAGAGTAAATTGATTGCAAACTAAAATGAGAAACCACTGCACAGCCACTAGCATAACTAAATTTAAGATACCAACACCACCCAGGGCTGCAAGAATGTGGAACAATAGGCGCTTTCATTGATGACTGATAGGAATGCAAAAGGTACAGCCACTTTGGAAGAAAGGTTGACAGTCCCTAAAAGTTAAACATACTCCTGCCTATAACCCAGCAGTCGTGCTTCTTGGAATCTGCCCAAGTGAATTGAGAATCCATATGCACAGTCTGCTCGTGGATGCTTCTAGCAGCTTTACTCATAGTTGCCAAATCTTAGAAGCAACTGAGCTAAACCTGAATAGGTGAATAGACAAACCGGCTTAGGTGAATAAAGACACTGAGATAAACCTTTAACAGGTGAATAGACAACGTGGAATATTATTCAGTGACAAAAGAAATGAGTTTTTTTAAGTCATGAAAAGACATGGAAGAAATTTAGGGCTACTAAGTACTTATTAAACTTAAATGCATATAAGAAGCCAATCTAAAATGTCGACATACTATATAATTCCAGTGCTAGGGGCATTCTGGAAAAGGTAGAGTTATAGATAGTAAAAAGATGAATGATTGCCGAGGGAGAGGGGATGGGAGAAGGGGTAAGTGGAACACAGAATTTTTAGGACAGTGAAACTATTCAATACTATAATATAAAGGTGGGTCATATCATTTATATACTATGGACTTTGATAATGATGTATCAAATTAGGTTCGTCAAGTGTAACAAATGTACCATTCTTAGGCAAATGTTGATAGTAAGGATTAGAAGATTTTAAAAACACCATCAACTTATCCTAATTCACGTTTATAGAACAATCTACTCAACAGCAGAAAAATATAACAGCCCCCCCTCAATGAAGTGTGTACGGTTTCATTTACCATGTGGTCAGCTGTAGTCTGAAAATATTAAATGGGAAATTCCAGGAATAGACATTGGTGAGTTTTAACCTGTACACCATTCTGAGCAGCATAGTGAAATCTCATGCTGTCTGCTGCATCCTGCCTGGAACGTGAATCATGCCTCTGTCCACTGTGTGCCTGCTGTGTCCACTGCCTGCCACTTAATCACCTGTTAGCGGAATGGGTTATCACATGAGCACACTGGTATCACAGTGTTTGTGTTCAAGTAACCTGTATTCTGTATCACAGTGTCCATGTCATAGTCCCCATTGCATCTCATGTTGCCATTATATCACCCCACATCGTCAAGGACAGTGCAGAATAAGTTGTTTAGAGAGAGACCACATTCACTTAACTTTTATTTCAGTATATTGTTATAATTTTTATACTTTGTTATTAGTTATTGTTATTAATCTCTTATTGTGTTTAATTTATAAGTTAAACTTTTTCATAAGTATGTATGTGTAAGAAAAAAAACAGAGTAATATAGAGTTCAGTACTATCTACAGTTTCAGGTATCCGCTGGTAGTCTTGGAACATATTTTCCCCTTATAAAAGGAGCTACTGAACACATTCTTTTCAAGTACACATGGTACATTTACCAGAACAGTACATATTCTAGGTCAAAAAACAAATTCCAGTGATTTTTTTAGAGATTCAAAACATACAGTATGTTCTGTAACCACAGTGAAATTAAGCACGTAATAAGTACCAGAAAGATACTACACAATCTTCAAATATTTGTAAACTAAACACTTGGCATCAAAGAAAAGATTCAAAAGGGACATTCAGAAAATATTTTGAATAATAATGTAAACATAATTCATAAAATTTGTAGGATGCAGGTAAAACATGGCTTAGAAATAAAATTATAGCACCAAATACCTGTTAATCACCTCAAAGCTTCTACCTTAAGAAACTCAAAAGTAGGGTCTGGCATTGTGGCCTAGGGGATGTTAAGCCACCACCTGCGATGCTGGCATCCCATATGGGTGCCAGTTCGAGTCACAGGTGCTCC